GCTGGTAAAAGGATTTTGTTCTACATGACCTGTATACTTTTCTAGAACGTCAGAGGTCAATAGGAGCATTCCCCAAATGAACTAAGGAGCTGAAAAAGACTAAATGTCCTGCACCAGGAAGCCAACAACCTAAAAGGTTTTCTTATTAATGATCTATTAAACATAAGTAAATTACCTATTCATAAAGTCACAGATCACAACTTATAAACTCTTCAGCAGGTGGCTTATCAGAGAATGGTACCAGTAAATCTCTGTTGTTTCAGCTACAATCCAGTGCTTTGTTTTCAAGTAGGCCACAAAATTTATTCAAAAATGAAATGTTGATGAATATGAACAGCATGTGACTGATGCTGCCTTTTGACAGCATTGAACCTAATAGTCATGTGTGAATAATTATACCTCTTCAGCACAGTATATAAACACATCATTATCCCATAACTGTCAGTTTTCTTTTATTCAGAAAAAGTCACATTAACACTGCAAAATAAAGGACAAAACATATATAAAGTTATTACTAAACACAGCTGCCACAGTGAAGAAAGTCCAGCAGCGGCTATACTTCATCAGGCAGCTCAGAAAAGCTGGGCTGAACCGTCGCCCTCTCACCGAGGCTTATAGAGGACTGGTAGAGAGCATCCTCACTACTGGCATCAGGCAGAGAGGAAGGCTCTTCAAAGGGTCATAAAGACTGCAGAGAGGATCACTGGGACTGAACTGCCTGCTACGGGCATACTATACACACACACACACACATCGCTGTCATAAAAGGGCAGAGAACATACTCATGGATCCACACCACCCAGCTCACACTCTGCTCAGACACAAAAACTGCACCTACAGCCTCAGGCACAACAGGACGGACAGTATCGTCACACACAGAACTAGACTTTACAACAACTTCTTCCCTGCCACAGTAAGACTGATGGCAAATATGAAAATGTGAGAATATATGTGCAATCATCTCTCACTACCTCATCAAGCGTAATGACATATCCAACTCCACCATGTGAATCACTAAATGCAATGTTTGAAGTTCACTGTGGGAAATACTATTACCCTATTTTTGTGTATTGTATTTTAATACTTTGTCGCCTTTATGTAACTTTTTATTTTAATACTAAGTGTTCTTTCTGGCTTTTGACTCCTTAGCTGACTCCAAAGGAGAGCTGCACAAGAATTCCTATATGCCTAGACTGTCTGTTTATGCATAAATGGCAAATAAATATCTTGAATCTTGAATCTACTACGTGTATTTGTGGCTGCGTTGCCTTCGGGTCTCCTGAGGAGAGGAGAAACCTGTATTTCTTCTACATCTATGAACAACTTCTTCTGTCTGTACCATTGCAACATTCATGCAGGAGACTGTAGTGAAGCTGCTGCTATTTATTAATATTCTACTAGTGGACCTTGTGGTAGGATTGTTTCGCTAATTTGAACGTCTATGTTACATGTGATTCGATCGAATTCTCAAAGCCAACAAACAGACTTTGTGGTGAAACCGATTCACTAACTCATGTTTACTTTTTTCAGACAATTAGAGCAGCACTGGAAATGTTTGAAATTCATATCAAAACATTTAGATTTGTTGACATAGGAGAGGATGTTTTTACACTGGTGAGCACATTACTTTAGAGGTAGTAAACCCCTCATTTGGTCGTTGTTTGTGTCACTACATCAAGGCAGCGTATTAAAGGTTAAAACTGCTGATAAACCTGTGATTTTCTCTAGTTTCTGAACTGTGATGAAAAAAGTTCAGTGAATATCCACCCCACACAGAGAACAATCAGATTCCACACGAGATAGTGGGCAGGTCAGAGGGTGCCGTCCTCTCCTTTGTGTCAGAGAAGTGATGAAAACAGATTTTACAATAAGACTGTTGCTTAGCAACGCAATATCACAGTGAAGAAAACAACGGGAGTATTTAAGTGAGGGTGTCATACATGGAAAAAGGGGGAGGAGAGGGGAGGGGAATGTTCTGAAAATATTGATTTACATAGGACTGATTATCAGTTATGATTCTTTCAGCACGTATGATCTCAGCATTAAGTCAGTCATAGCTAGTGATGACTAGCTCTGTCCTTCCTCCGCAGCCTGTATTCTCCAGGGTCAGATGCAGTACAGTATGTGGGAGTGACAAGTGGATGTTAGCCAGCAACGAAACTCACAAGGTGTAAAAACTGTGTAGTAATCCACAGGATGAATATTTAAATGGGGAGAGCAGCAGCTGCTTTCGTTGTAAGTTTAGGTCATTTTAAATGTATCCACTCAACCCAGAAATGCTTCATGAGAGCACACCACTCTGCAACAATCACACTAATCTAGGTTTCCAAAAAAAAAAAAAAATCTACTCAGAAGCTTTGAACAAATTTCAGAGCCATGGGGCAATAAAGTTTAATCTGATCTAAAGCTTGTGTGTGCTGCAGTACTGATGCCATGTGGACACAGTCATTGCAGCTACTCAATATGGTCCAACTGTGAATTTCTGAGAGAAAGCGAATCTGTCTGCAATCTGACCATCTTGTATATCTCCCAACAGTCAAGGTGGAGAAAATGCACAAAGGAAAGAAAACACTGGGTAAATATGATTGATTCAATTGTATGAACCTTCTGCAGGCTGCAGTTTGTGTTGCTGGCCAGCTGTGTTTTTTTAAGCAAAGGCAAACTAAACAACTCCTCTCAGGATAAAGCAATCAATTTCAAATGCACCACCAAAGTGCAGTTTTCAAAATAACCTTTAGATAAATCAACACCTCAAAATCAAAAATCAAACATTAAGTTATAATCTGCACATTAACCCCCATTATTTAATTCCAGGGCTGTTATATCCAAGAGAATCAGTTTTAGAGAGGTGTACCTAATAAACTGGCAACTGTAGAATAGTTATGCAGTATATACAGTCAATGAAAGTAGTACATTTACTCAAGTGCTGTACATATCATTTTCAGGTACATTTGATCATAATTTATACTTGTACTCTGTTATATTTCTGTACTTTCTACTGAACCTATAGTTACTAGATAACCTGCAATAAAACTGGGGCTTCTGAAATGGGTGCTCAACATAACTGGAGCTTATTACTTTTGCTAAAACTTCTGTACTTTTACTTAAGCAACAATAGCATCCATGTGTTGTATTAGAGCCTATTAATACATTTCCAGGTTTAAGTTTCTTCCTGCTTCAGAAATTACTCTCCTCTTTTCATTCTTCTCTCTCAGGGACAACCTGGACAGTATTAACGATCAGGTTTACTGAATCATTCGAGCACACTCAGCACATGCAAATACCCCCTAGACACTATGTCAAGAGGAAGAGGGGGAGGAGGAAGGCCAGGGGTCAGCAGACATGCGTCCTCCCCTGCAGACTCATGTGGCAGCTGTGCGTTTCGGCTGAATAATAGTCAGGAAGGTTTCACTAAAGGTGTCCTGTTGCAGCAGCGGCTGTGATCATGAGCCGTGCTGATGTAATATTCAAAGTTAGATCAGTCGGGTCGAGTCCGTGGCCAATAGTAGTGATAGTAATTTTGCAGGCAGCAGAGAGAGAGTCACGGAGGAGAGGATGGAGAGGAAGGATGCTGGCTTCTGGGTACCGTGATGGCTGCTCGCCTCTTGTGACGCCGGCTTGCTTCACATATGGATTAAAAAAATTGAAATCTCACGCCCTCCGCCTGTCAGGATGATGATCAGCGCTCAGCCTGTGATGACACGGCTGCACTTAGAGCATTTTGCATTTACAAAACTGAAAAGCGCACGTCGAAAAAAAAAAACGCAAACGTGAGATCTGAAACAGACATATTGCTGATGCTGCTTCTACCGAGGCCGTGCTGTGCGAGGCTATGCTCTGACAATGCCCTATATAAAATATGCAATTAAAATCACTAAATAAATACTTTAAATGACGTCTCTTACCTCTATGCTGTCCTCTGTTGGCCATTACAGGATGGATGAGGAGGCGGCGCAGGTGCAGGGATGCAGAGCGACGCCCGGGGAAACAGAAACGTGAGGCGGTCATCGCACTGATACTCAGTAAACAGATGTCTGTAAATAGAATCCACAAACACGCTCACCTGTTTTAACCGGCAGCCGGCTTTTGTACCTGATGTTGCTCGTCATGTTCACTGCTCTCCTCCCTCGGTATTAGCGAAGCGACAGCTCACAGAAAGAGGCCACTTGCTTCGCCTCCGAGCCCCCGGACAGACAGCAGGAGGGCGGGCTGAGCTGACAGCTGATAGGCCTTCCTCCTTCCTCCTTCCTCCTCCTCCTCCTCCTCC